CACACAACAGACTTATGTTTGCATCTCAGTAATTGTGTGACTCCTTTTTTATTTCACTATTTACATACAAATGTAAACTATTCCAACTCAATATAATGCGGCAAAATCCGACGTAGAGTTTACGCCCTGTCGCCCATTGACGGACCTATCGCGCAGAGTAAGACGTAAGCCGAGCGTGCAACAGTCGAGCGTGTGAGTTAATCATTAACGGTATCTCGAACTCCGCCTTATGCATATGCAAGAACCGACATCGATTTCGACTTTGCGAAATCGAAGGGCGGTCTATCGCATCTCTCGTCGAGCGTTCATCTCGCGGGATTATTCCGACTGTACACACCTGTCTACCTGATGCTCCTGCTTCGATATCACAGAGAGCAGTCGATACGGGCTTGTTTAAGATTGGCTTGGCACGGTGCCACTGTTGAGGTCAGCGCGATTTGATCAAATTTGATGTAATATAAGATACGACGTATGAAACCTCATCGCGCAATCGTCATAAGCAGATTCCATATTGCACAGTGAAATCGCTCTTCCAAACTCACGCAATTATGCTCGCTGATGTGATGAGAAAACTTACGGTCCATTGAATTTTTGCAAGAGTTGAGACATAGATACAGTTTCAAATTCAAATTTTATTACATTTTCTAAATGTATTGTATTTTTTTGTATCGTATTTTATATATTTTTTTCAAGAATTAAATGCAGATCGAAATCGATCATTTTATGAACACTAGTGTGTCGTTATCGCTGCTGCATGTAATGCAATTTGTGAATGCATCTTCGAAGTTCAGGTTATAACTCATCTGTACCATGTAGATAAGCGTTATATCAACTTGTCTCGTAAAATACGAAGTAATCTTTTGATTAAAAGTGTAGCAAACGTTCTATTGGTCCGTCAATACATCATACGCTTCATATGATCAACTCAGCTGTGCGAAGTTCCAATATCGAAGCAATGTACAATCATATAATTTTTGTAGCAAAATTTCTGCCAATGTGATAAATAATAAACAGACTTGCAATATTTATTCGCGAGTGCTAGCAGAAGACCGAGAAATCCGATTCATCAATAATGGATATAAATTGATGTCACCAGTTTCCAATATTCTCCGAGCGCAATTTGTCACTAGTCGTGATGACATTTCTGTTGTATTACGAGAAAATAACCGAGAGGGAATGAAGCGCTACCTCGAGGTATGTGAGAATCTTTCATTAAAATACAAAGATGGCTTTGCTTTGCACTTGACACGTGCCGCGTGTACCGTCGGTGCTCGCGTTGAACTTCCCATTCAGGTCATTTAATATTTTGAAATAACAAAGAGTATATTATCATACATTTCACAATTTTACTTATCTCTTTTGTTCTACACTGCATTTTGTAAAATGTCTTTCTATTTTGATAATAATACATTTTTCAATTTTAAATTTATTGTAACATGTACGTTTTGAGCTCAAATAATAAATGCGCCAGCGTGAGCCATCGATGATGCACGCAGGCTGACTGGAAAGACACGCAAAAACGGCTCGACACGGAACATGTCATTATCTATGCGAGTAAATTGTTCAGAGCTTGTTACGAAATTGGCTTGAAATTATTTACCGCAAAATATTATGGAATATTATAAAATTATCTTGAAATATTCCTCTCGCGTTGTGATTCATTTCTTTTTCACTTATTTTAACGAGAAAACATAATTAAATTAAGTAATCAATTTGCCCAGTCAGGCAAAAACGATTGTTGTAATAATTCAAAAAGCGGTAGAATTATGAATCGAGGTTGACAAAAATCCAACAATACCGAAACTTCAACAATACCGAGATCTAACTTAGCAAACTCGGAGAAAGTTCGAATCGCAAACTTTATTAGAACAGTCGATAGAAATTCGACAACACGAGTGTTATACAACAAACAAAATAAAAAATTATATATGGCAAAGAAAAATATTTTCTAAAAAAATACTATGTTTAAACGGTATATTCAAATATGCACACAGAGCAGAAAGATACAAAAGATATTTGAAAAATAGAAAAATAAAGATTCAGATTTCGATATTTTTTAAATCTTTCCATTGCTTGAGACTCGAATAATATGGAAAAGTTATTTTGTAATAAATGGATTATTATAATTTTTGCAATAGTCTCAAAATATTTTTTGCAAAATCTAGCATTTATTAAAATGCTGTTCTGAATTAGTAGACCTAAGACAAAATTGAAATCTCTAAAACATGAATTAAGTCGAGACAAATCGTTCGATAATTTGATTGACTTCATTAGAGATAACACCTCTGCGGCACATAATAAATACAGAAAGCACAGCTGGTGATTAACACTAATCCAACAAATCTGCAGCAAAAGGACGGATGAGAGAGAGAGAGTAAATGAGATCGCATACATCCTGATTTGATTGATCGAGCGCAACAGTCTGACAATGAACGTGTCGAAACATAATAAAGCGAGTGTCAATCAAGGTAATTGTGAAATTGAGATAAATATCATATATCCTAATCAACCTCGCACGTCAATCAGGACAAAAACATAAATAAATCAAAAGAAACACCTAACGAGTCTAGAATGGCGCAAATAATTTTTCAGCCTTTATTCCGCAACAGGTTTTGTTATATTGCAAATGTTTTTACTTGCTGCATTGTATTGTTTTTTCGTAATAAATCATAATTAACTATTGCCGTTTTATATTTGTGTGTATGGAAACTTTATTTCTCAAAAAAAGATTTAACTTTTTGCACCTCCGATTAAATAAACTCGACGATATGTTTTATGACAACAAATATATATACGAATGTTTTAAATAATGAGAATAGTGATTATAATTTACAAATATCATCTCTTGTAAACCTTTTGACAGAAATAGGCTATTAAATAACAATTTAATATCTCTTTATGTGTGTTCCAAAATCATAATGAATCGTAAAGGATTAACATCAAGCTTACTTTAATTTTTAACAAATTTCAGTAATTAAAAAAAATTTTTGCCACTAAAATTTTCAATACTCTGAGTTTATTTCGGGATACCATTGAAAAATGTACGTATTGAGAAACGCATTAACTCCAATAAATTGAAATGAATTGAATGTATCATAAATGCGAAGCACTAAACTAACAGATTTTCAGCAAAAAGAAACATAAGATTCACATATTCTTTCTGAACGAGTGTTAGCTTACAGAAACTGCGCGGATCAAGATGAATAAAAGATGAAGGATGTCAGAAAGCTAAATAGCATACCGAAAAATTGCGAAAGAATATTCAGAGCTAGACAAAACATTAAAATTGTGTAAGTTGCTTCTTTTATAACGATTAATCTGAATAAACTTTAAACGAACACGAGAACAATTATGGATAAACAGATAAGCAGATCAACTTTTCATATGCAAATGCGAAAATGTGAAGCTGCGTTCAGAAGTTTTGAAAGATTATGCTAATACGTCTCGTATTTTCGGAGCGGATTAACTAAAATCATTTAAACTTATTCGTTAAAGGAAAGATTATTGTATCAGAATTGTTATGTAAAAAATTGTTCACATTCTCGATTTACATAGAAGTTTTCTTTCTTCAGACAGAGTCAGATTTCCAAGGCACAAATCACGGAAAACAGCCACGTTTCAAGATAATGAAGTAATTTATATTCCCAATATATAAGAGTTTTTGCGGAATCATAACGCGTAAGAGAGGTATATAAATCGAGGAAAAAGTTTATATTATTTACGCGCTGCTGCCTGTGTGTGTGTGTGTGTGTGTATGTGTGTGTGTATGTGTGTAATCAATATTTATTTTGAAATGTCGAAGTTAATAAATAGGCAGGTCCATAAGCTTTGAAAATTTAATTAGATAAATCTTTTAAACTTTTCTTCATCAAAATCACTTTCCGTGGATATCATTGCATGATTGATATAATATTATTTGTAATGTTTGAATATTTTAATATTACATATCAACAAATCCAGCGCTAATCCGTCGATGATGAACGACTTGCATGCTAATTATTCGCAACTATGTAATTTATAAAGAACATTCATTTGCATTTTAATGCAACATTATGTCCTTCGTGTGGTGCGCGCATTATGTAATTGCACAGGATAAGATAAGGAAACAATTTATCAAACACACATCTCGCAGATAATTCCATTTCATTTGCAAAGTGAATTTTTTCACTCTAGTAGCTTGATATCTGTTAATTACAGAATTGTTAAAAGGCGTCGCAACTTTACCGCATCACTTGACAACATTCTATCTTAAGCGAATAAAATGTTTTTGAACAACACCAAGCGGAAATAAAATCTTCACGTTACGTTTCACGTTATTTATTGCGAGAATTATGCGATATCGTTTAATCAATCATGCTTATGCAACATATGCAGTTTGCAATATATCTTTCACGTGCAATGTCATCATCAACAAAGCAAACTTAAAATCTTATTCATCTCATTCATTTAAATATTCATTCCAATGGTTTATATATTTTCTAATGTCAAACTTAATCTTTAATATGTTTTGTTTAATATAAACGTATTTGATATTAAAGAATAAAAATTGTATGAACATCGTATGCTAAAGCGGATGTGAATAAAAAATAACTCCACTTTGCTGCTTTTAAGAACACAAGGGTTCTGTTTTTCATTATATTGAACAGACTATTTTTATCTGCGAATACTGAGAAAGAGCAAAACACTTTTATAAATAATCTTGCAGTTTTCAGCTTATAGATATTAGTGTATTAGCGAAGTGAAATTAATTATTATATAGAATTATGTGCAAATTAACAGATAATAATTATCAGCGTGAGAAATAATTTACTTAACATATAAATATTCATAACTAACTTCAATTAAAATGTCTCAAATGTTTCTCGCCCATGCTTGATACGGTTAGAAATGTTACATCTAGCGCGGCTGGAAAAAATCACACACGCCTCGCACAAGATCCCAAACAAGGTCGTAAACAGCATGCAACAACGAGCATTAGTCATTATTACATAAATCCTCACCTTCCACAGAATCCGGCAATCCTAAAACTGGTTGATCAAGGATAATCCAGGAGGAGACCAGGAGGACGTAGAGTAGACGCACGGCGATGGTACTGCAGGGGGTTGTTCCCGACGACGAGCACGTCGGCAACGGACAGGTCGTCGCGGCGACGCGCATCTCTACGACTGCTGGCTTCTGGCCCCACGCGGCACACCTGCGGCCTACGCGTCGTATTCGCACGCACGCACGCACCCGCGACCGTATGCCGTACCTGCACGCCCACGCAGGTCAACCCTGCCTGGCCTACTTCCGGTATCACATCTCCGGCCGATCGCGGAGGTGTACGCGATCGATCACGCGCATAGTCGCCGCCGCAGAACCCGACGTCGTAGCTCTTTCTCCCCTTTCCGCCCGCGTGGATCACCCCCCGCGCCAAAATGATCTAGCAATCCCCCTTGTTGTCGTTCAAAAGATCCACGCCGCTGGCGCCGTCAAGCTCGCTCGCGGATCACGGAGCGCGGTGTGTGCGCGTTACGATTTGCGGAGTTGCGATGCGCGCGATTTCAGATCGCACGATAAAGCTCGAAGTCCGAATGAAGACGACGGTCGACGCGACGATCCCTGCTCCCGTCGTTCCGGTACGCTCGCGCCGTCGTACGTACCCCGTGCGATTGTGCCGCGTAGCGCAGTGGAAAGGCGCGGGCACCAAGCAACGACCGGCCTGACTCGCTCCGAGGGATCGCCGCGATGTCAGGGCGCCGGCGTTCTGCGCAATACATCCAAGTCACGTTTCCACCCCTTTCGCCGCCGGTGGTGGCGGTGTTGTTCCGCGGCATCCACCCCGTCTGTCCTCTCGCCGCTGTGTGGACAGACGGCGACGAAACGGAGTGCCTCTGAGTCATTCCTTGGGCAAGACCTGGTCGGCGTACCGCCGTCGCCGTCGCGCAAATATGTACGCTCGCTGCGGTCACGTCGTAATGTGGTGGTAATGACGCAGCGCGCGAGCCTCACGTTGGTGCACCGCGCTGCTTCTTCTTCTACAGAGTGCACGGACGTGCGGCATCGAAGACCGCGCGACTGCATCGGGAATTAATGCGGCGATGCGGCGTGACGCTCGGCGCCGCGCCAGCGCATGTTTCACGGTGCTTAAATATTAATACGAAAAGTTCAATACATGGGAGTCTGAGAATTATAATCGGATTCTTTATTTGAAATCAATTTTTTTCGTAAAATAGCGGGAAAATGTTAATTTTTCAATTGTGACTTATTGGAAAATTTTATAAATTTAATATTTAGATATTTTACTTGCTCATTTCTCATTTGAGATGTACACCTTAATTTAACTTTCAGATATGTAATATATTAAAAATCTGCAATGATAAAATATGATGCGAGTCGCTCAAATAAGATTTCTTAAATCATGTTTGCATCTTTTTTCTAAAATTTATTTTGACTTAAATATTTTCAGTAATTTATATTACCAGTATTGTTCCTAGTTCTTTGTAGGTAAAATAAGAGGATGACGCATATTTCGCGGAAAACTCTAAATCAGACCATGCGATCTTAATTTCACTTTTGGATCGATTACTTTGTCACATAACAATACTAGTTAGACGTGTAATGTTCACATTGCACCACTAATTGTATCTTACAAACATGAAACAACCGTCAATTAAGGCTAATGAAATATTCCGAACAATATGAGAAAATTATATACATGGATATAAATAAAATATACTATAATATATTGATCGTTAGTGTGAATAGAAAGAGGAAAAGTATACGAATGTACAAACAAAGCATTATACTTCTTTTAAACATATCTAAAAATCGTTGGCATCTAATTGCACTAAAGTTGACAAAAAATTATATTTTTTGTAATAAAAAATTAAAATATTTAATATTTTTCGGACGTTAAGATAACTGATATAATTCGCAAATAATTTTGCAATAACAGAAAGTTATTCGCAGCTTGACTTTATGTTTCAGAAAATAGTTATTTGTATTTCGTGTATTCTTTTTTAAATATATAGTATTTTATTTTTTAACTTATTTTTTCCAAAATTTCAGCTTTTCATTCAAGCTTTTCAAATCGTATTATACTTCGATTATAATTAAGTACAGATTGCGCATAATATTTCATATTTATTCCTATTCTTGATATTGTTTTTATTATGCGTTGGACCTAACGCTTTGCAATTAGTAATTGCCATTGATCAATTATACACAACAATTATACACAATTGTTTTTTCTTATCGTAATCATATTCAGTACAATCTAGCAATTAAATTTATTTGATAGTAACATCGAATAAAAGCTATCGATCTAGGGATTAATCGAATCTTAAAATATCGATAAAATAATCGATGTTTCGATGTATCGCTCAAATATAAAATATTATCTATCCCTACTTCAAGGCTGAAAACTTGATTGTTGACTCTTAGCAGAAGATGCGAGAAATTTGCTAAAAAGAATCTGTTATCAAGTGCAATTATTTTTGCAATTGCTTTAAATTGATTGATATTGTGGTTTGAATACGCAACACAAAGTACAAATTCTAAAAATGGTATTTTAAATATATCTATAATATTGTACGTTTTTATTTATACAATTTAACAACACAAATGTCATTTTTCAGAGTGTTACGTTGCACACAGACGTCGGTGACATTAAAATAGAATTATTTTGTGAGATGTGTCCGAAAACGTGTGAGGTATTATTCATTTTCTACATTCTAACTGTGTAATTATTTGTTAGTCGTGTATAACCTCCAATATTTGCAATTTACTACTTTATAGTTATTTAATGTGCTAAATTTATAATTATTAATATATTTATATTATTTAAAATGTAACATAATTCGAAGATTGAGTTGGGAGCATTTTATTTTTAATAAAAGAAAACAGTTTAAAATTTTGCACATGAGCATAAACGTTTCATGAATTTTTTAGAATTTTCTTGCACTTTGTGCTAGTGGATATTACGACAATTGCTTATTCCATCGGAACATAAAAGGCTTCATTGTTCAAACTGGAGACCCTACTAACACAGGTAAAGGTGGAACTTCTATATGGAATCGTAAATTTGAAGATGAATTTAAGGAAGAACTTAAGCATAATACGAGAGGTCTTATCTCAATGGCTAATAATGGTCCTAACACAAATGGAAGTCAATTCTTCATAACTTATGCACAACAATCACACTTGGATCTAAAATATACCTTATTTGCAAAGTAAGTTTGCCATTGGTTTTATAAAATATATAGAGTATAAAATTATGGTAGTCCTTTGTTGACTCTTTTTATTTATCACAGAGTAATCGATGGTTTGGAGACATTGGAACAATTGGAAAAACTACCAGTGAATCCTAAGAATTACAAACCACTCACAGAAATCAGGATAAATAATATAACTATACATGCCAACCCATTAGCAGGATGAATCTGAGTAATAAAATATTTCTTACAGTCTATTGTATAAAATAAATAATTTACATCCGTTTTTCTGTTTGTATAAAATATAAAAAATGTTTAATACATAATTATATAATATATAACTTTATATATAATATATATATATATATATTATATATAATTTTATATATAATATATATTTTATAAAAAATACATAATATATATAATTTTTCACAGATATTTTCAAATCGCAAGAAACGTGATTGATAAATTTAGATCGTCGATATTTTTTATATTCTCGTATCTATATTGTTATACTTATATATACCTAATAATCTCTTGTTTTGCGGATCAAATGGACTTTGAAGATACATCTTCGCGGGATATTTTTTTCCTCTTGCTTCGATCTGGTAAGTACCCGTTTCTAAGAATTCCTTTGTAATATTTTGTCCATTTGGAGCTTTGATGTATCTAAATGACGAAAGTAAAATATAAATATAATTATTCATGTCTCTGTTACTTATTATTCGATTTACTTACGCTTGTCCAATACTGCTTTTAAAGGTATATCCATGCTCGGCTCTTCTTAGATAACCAACTAATTGATCGTTTCTATAAACATTTTCCATACCCCACAATGGTATATCACTGTAATTAAACGAATGTTTACGCATGAACGCGCATTCAAAATATCGATAAACTGACAATATCAGGGTCAAGTGAAATGTATTGCGAAATGATGTACTTACTTGTTTATGTGTAAATGTACTAGTCTTTTTTTAATCCCATTTTTGCGAAACTGATCAACAGATGTCTTTCCTAAGTATTTGCCATTGATGCGACAAACAGATTCTAAACCCGCTTCTATTGGATTGTCATCCGATCTTAAATCTGTGCTCCAAAGATGATATCCTGATGGACAAATTAACAATTTTGACAAATTAATATATATATATTAAAAAATAATAAAAATGTATTTAATGCTGCAGTGCATACCTTTTTCGCAACTTAAACTGTAGAGTGCTCTGAAGCCAGCTAATTTAACATCATATTTTTTGCCATATTCCATTACAGCTTTATAAACTTTTTCGCATGAGCTTCTTGGAATATGTAATTCGAAACCGAGTTCACCTACGAAACTAAGTCTAAACATGTGCACTAATTCGCCGTCAATTCGTACTAATTTTGAAGTTGAGAATGGAAACGATTTGTTCGAGAGGTCATCCTGGACTAACATTTGCAGAACTTGTCGACTGTAATATTAAATGAAATATACTGAATGGACAATCATGTTACACGTTTTTGCAATAATTTGCACATGCATTCATAATTTTCATACCTGTTGGGTCCTTGGAGTGACAAGATTCCTATCTGCTCCGTAACATTGTGCACAGATACATTGAAATCTTTTTCTTTTATTATCTTGTTTATATGCGCCCAAGTGTGATAAGATGACATGCCTCCGGTTACTAAAATCCGAAATAGAAGAATTAATAACGCGGAATTGAAATAAAATACATAAAATGCAGATATGCGAACGTACCGACGTAGAAGGCTTTCCCCTTAAATATGGGATCGACTATACCACCCAAGCCAGATTCTAGCCCGGTGACAGTGCAGTCTGCTTCTACACCACCATTCTTGTTCAACATGCAGGTGTAAACAGTCCTGTTGATCTCTCGATCCGCAACTCGAGACGTGAATATGTAATCCACCGCTTTACTCGTCTCTGGACCACATATGTAAAGTTTCCCAAAGTACGACATGTCAAATAAGGCAACATTATTTCTGCAGGCAAGCGCTTCCTCCCGGATCTAAATGTATAAAATGATTTAATATTCTTCACTAATGATAGAAATACTCTTGTAAAACAGTTTTAGACAGTTCTGTTCTAATCAAAAATCATAAAGCGACTTACGATATTATCGTGCGGTGGAAAGTCGAATGTACATTCCGTTTTTAGTATGTCAGCGTATGTGTCATTCGTATTTTTCGGTTTATCACAATAGCCGCCATAATCGTAAGGCAGAACTGCGGCTGTTTTATTGTCGGGCAGAAACCATCCCGGACGTTCCCATCCTTGTCGTTCTTCCATGACTGCACCTTCTTTAATGAGCAACTAACAAATAAAAACAAGATGAACAATAACGTATCATAACAATACAGAATTCATAATCTAAACACGAATAAAATTAAAATTTGCATAAAACATAACTTACATCGTGAAAGGGATCTGTCTTCAAGTTTCTGCCGCCTAAATGCTCTTCGTGTGGAAAGATGATGTCGTAATTTTTTGCATAAGCTTCATGGCTTCGCTCAGTCGCCCAAACTGAATTCTTTCTTTGTTCTGGTATAAATCTGCGTGGCAAAAAAGGAAATAAATTGGAGAAAATAGATATTGCGATAGAATGATTTTGATGACATTACATTTTATGTCAAGGCATTTAAAAGAGTATCATGAAGTGATAATTAATATATTGAGAAGTTGGTTCACATTAAATAAATACAATTATATATTTTAAGATCTGATTTTTAATTTGAATGAACTCTCACCGTCTGATATCGCGGTCGAACATGTATTTGTCCGGTCGTCCATTGATTATCCATGATGCTATTTGTTCTCCACAACCGCCTCCAAACATCATCCCAGCGCTATTATATCCGCAGGAGTAATAAAGACCCGTGCAACGTGGGTCCTCGCCTTTTGAACAATGTTAATTTTAAATAATGCGTTTATGTCGCATCGATCGTGAGTAATGTTGAAATATTTTACCCATGATGGGTCTATGATCGGGAGTGAAACTTTCCGGGCCGCAGATCGTCGTTTTTATTCCTGTAGTTGCCAGAGCGGGCATCAATCGGTTCATCGCTTCTACGTGTGTATTGAACACGTCCCAATTCAGCTCGTACAAACTAAAGGGAAAATCTTCCGGCGGCTTGAAAACATTTGTCACAAAACACGTAAATCAATTGACAGTACGTAAAAATCTAAATCTGCGTCGCACAGCGATTAAATTTACGCGAGTTTCTCGTGTAACATGCATATGCGCAACTTACAGATTGCAACACGATAGGATTCGGCTCGTATCCTCCGATCTGCAAAGCTGCACCCTGCACTCGGAAATAGACATCGAAATCAGGATCTCGAACATTTGGCAATCCTTGTAGATTTATCGGCTCGGTAAGGATGTATGCGTGTTTCATCGGTACTAAAGGGATGTCCAATCCTGCCATTTGCGCAATCGTCGAAGACCATGCTCCCGCGGCGTTTAACACGACATTGGTCCTTATAATTCCGTAAGGTGTTTCCACTCCACGAACAGTTTTATGATCATCAGTATTTTCTATGAGAAGTTTAGTGATTGGACAGTTCTCGATGACCTTGAAGAATTATATTAAGAACAGTTATACTTTTTATTCAATTTTATATCAGGTAACATAAAATTCTGTGCAAAATTAATATATCTGTTATAAAGAGATCCATTTCAATATAATGAATATTACTCGAGCTAGTTGATAAGTAATATGTGTACCTTGCAACCGTTTCTCTCTGCTGATTTCGTCAATGCATTTATTAACATGGCAGGATCTACAGAACCATCCGCTGGACAGTGCACCGCAGCCACAAATGCATTTTCATCTAAAAGGTGAAACTTTTTCTTCGCCTCGGCTGGATCAATCATGTATGCATCAATGTCGAAATTCTTACAGCCAGTGATCAATCTCTCATATTCAACTACCCGTTCCTGCATAACGCGATAAATATTTATTCTCCAAAGAATAGACGAGAACATCAACAGCGCAAATAGGTGAAACACGCAAAGATACAGAAGACTTACAGGAGAATGAGCGATGTAGAGTCCGCCGTTGTTTATCCATCCTGCATCTATATCAGTTTCCTCCTGCAGAGATGCATAAAGCACTCTCGAAGCTTTCAGCAACTCCATCTCTACGTCCGATACTCCACGTAAATTCCATACGAGACCCGACGTGTGCCATGTTGTACCGGATGTCAGCTTCGATTTCTCCAAGAGCACAGCATTGACACCGCGTTTTCCCAATTGATACAACGCATTGCAGCCTGCGCTTCCACCACCTATAAGATTATTAATACAATTATTGACATTTTTGCTAATATATGTATCAAGTCGACAAGTATTGATTAATATTAACTTGGGTTTAATTAAGATCCACCATTTCTTTCTAGTTCTGTGTATGGAAAGTTTCAGATCTCGCTTCAATTAACTTTAAAGATATAATAACATAGAATATATTTTTTATCACTCTGATCTTTCGTTTTATTTCTATCAATGCAAACTTCTAGTTATTACCTTACCTATTATCACAACATCTGCACTGCTGGGTATATCAATGTTTTTCGTCTCGTTCAATTCTCGCTTGAACATTCTTGCGGCGACTGTTCGGTTCTTCCTAAGACTCCATTTGGATAACTGCAAGAAAACAAAATATTAATATATTATTTGTTTCTCATACAAAAATGAAACTATCGTAATGCATTTAATTGAAATAAATGTGTGTATGATGTGTGCAAGAAATCGAATATACCTGGTCCGTCATTAGACGAAGCATCTTGTATGCTTTGTAAAATCAGTTTGTATTCGATTGCGATGTTAGCGTAGACTGAGCAGCGATTCCCCGGTATACAGACCGCGTGGTATCACACGGCTGTGTTGTTGGTTGTCCTCTATTTACACATGTACACATTATCAAGATACTTTCTCATTGCATCGCATTTCTCAACGCCAACTCCTTTGCCTGCGATATCAGCCCGCGTCTTCCGTGCAATTCGTATAACGAAAAAGATTACGGCCGACGTCAATCACAAAGTAACAAACATTACTCACATATTTTCACAGAAATAAATAAAATGAAACGTTATGTAGTAGTTTAAATAGACTATGTCTGTTATCTATCTGTTATGCTGTCTTTGTTACTCATGACTTGTCGCACAGTCTTTCTTTGTTATTATATTTCTGTATACAAGGTTCTGTGTACAAAAAATGTTCAATATTTTACTGTGTTGCGACACGTGATGATAAGGATTCGAAGACCAAGGAAATTTCGTCAGAAAATTAATCTTTACTAATCGCTACCGGAGCAAAAACTGGGACGTAAATATTATTAGCAAATGTTTAAAAAGTTAGGAACGATAAATTATTTTGAAACTTGTTGCAAATCAAACAGATAAAATAAATTGGTAGTTATTGATCTGGAAATAATTTTTTTCGTATACATAAATTCTGAAGAGCGTTTATCACCGATAACGTTTTTTTGTGGACTTCGAGTACTTTTTTTTACTGTGTCAGACATGCAAACAGCATTTTTCCAAAGTATAAATATCTTTGTGTGTAAAATTATATTAAAATATTCCACTTGTTAAATGCTGTGTCATATTAAATAAGTGGAAATTTATATATATCTATCAGTCAATAATTCAGTAAATGTGTAAAAGAAGCAATTGATAACATTGCAATACCTCTTATCTGCAGCACAGTTTGATAATATATATTATTTAGCAAAAAATAACAAGACTATTGCGCATCTTCGCTACGTATATTGTTTCAATATATGCAGTCTTCAAAATCATAACAAATATTTGTGCTTTGTAAGTCGTAAGATTTCTAAAATATATTTTGTAACGTATAACGTCATTATTCAATTTTTTTCTCAAAAACCAACAATTTTAATACTTGAAGATGTAAAACTAGTAAACAATTTCGTAATTAATGGATTAATTAAAAGTTCGATATTTATCCACAGAATCGTTGAAGGATTTTGCTAGCTAAGAAGAGCCTGATAAATTTCTTCTTAATAGGTTTTTTATCTTTCATTATTATCATCTACTATACAATAAACTGGTCGTGCTACAAAAGCAGTACATATATTTAAGTATTTGCAGTGTGATAAGTACTGTGTAAGAAAAATAGGATTTTTTTTTTTGGAGAAAATCCCGTGAACACATTCATAAAGAAGTCAACAAAATGCCACTTCAAACACAAACAACCGTTTTTTCACTTGGCGAATGATCTAAAGCGAAGTGTGCTCTTCGCTCGCTAAACTATCCGTGTCCTCGGTATCTGAATTAGTTGCAGCTTGCACACGAGCGTATTCGTCGGTGTCGATGCTTTTGCAGAAATGAATCGCATATTTCAGCTTTTGCCGCAAAACTGCTTTACACGAATATCTCGGCATTTTCAGAAGGAAAAAGCAAGTATAGCTTTCAGGAAGAAACTGGTCCGGTGGATTGTACTTATCCATTACCTAAGAAATAAAATAAAATATACGTCAATAAAAGTAATGTGTCAAGAGAATATCAAACGGCATCGCATTTCTTTTACACTCATTTCTTACTTGTAAAACGAAGTCTCTGCCTCTAAAATCTGCGATTGTGCGCGGTAAACGTGTCCTGCCCCAAACGAAACGAAGGAAAAGTGATCGTTCTTGATTGGAAAATTCGTCCATAACTTCCCAAAACCATTGAACAAGCGGTGCGGTCGCTTCAATACCTGCACAAAGACCATTTTTTTTTTTCTTGTTACAAATTAACACGATGACATTGTTGCTGTGTAAGTGTTTGGCGCGACATAAACATTTTTAATTCATGACAAAGCATTTACCTTTATACGTTGCAACAGACTTTAATAAATTAAGAGGTATATCTGGACTGCCGCAAACCATCGTTTCAAGTTCCGCACCGCTAAACAATGCCAACAACGGCACGGGAACCACTCTGGATAAACCTTCTCGTACAGCTGCTACTTGAGCATCGAATTCGTGTAATCTATAATCTAACGCCAATCTTACATATTCATGTCTATTTTCAGGTGTTATCTTAAGATATCTGAAAAAATTAAATATTAATTAAAACACGTTTTACACGCTACAAATTCTTTTCTTTCAGACACGTTAATTAATACAAATTTAGTAAGCTTATTATTTTCTCAAATTATTTTTATTTATGTTTCGTAATTTTGAAGCAATGCCAATCTGATCTCCGTTGCATTAACATGCAATTTTATAATTTTTATAATTGTAAATCCTTTTTATCAGGTCAATTTATTGCGCTCTCTAAATTTTTAAAATAATTTCTAAAACTTGGTGTAAAATGTACACCAAGTATTATATTAAATATAAATCACAAATTATAAAAAAAACTGCTATATACAATACCTGTTAGATAATGCCACATCGTGTCCCGCAGCGGATGGCGTAGAAAATGGCATTTCCAAAGTTTGAAAGACTTTCTCGTCAGGATCCATGTCTCTGATACAAAGTAAGCCAGGAACGTAATCTCTGTCGACTTCGGTTAAGTCCGCCGGTGTCAGAGGTATGCCAGCAAGCTGCTTCCAGACTGGTTCGGCTAAATTTAAACTCAGTGGACTGCCCGTGCGTATGGCGATGCCCATGAGAGTGCCCAAGAATTGGAACATGTTCATGTGCAACTGGGAATCGACCATGGGGTTCAACAAGAAGCAGTCTCGATTCGTGCCGTTATCCTCGCGGCCGTTCGGCGTGGGTATGAACAGCGGCAAGGAACCATTCTGCAATTCGTCACACATCTCCGCTATGCTCTCGCTATAACCACCGCCGCAGTCGTCAACGCTCTCCCCTGAAATAACAAATGCGTTATTTCGCACATGATATGTATAATTCCGGAATTTAAAAGAAAACTAAAAGTTTCAGAGAGATTCTGGAAATCAGTTTTAAAAAGTGGAGACTTAGAAATGAGTGAAAATTTGTTGAGCGAACAGAGTACATACCGACAAATTTCACTTTCCATACTCTGTGAGGTAGAAATAGCACGTCCTGCGTGAGGAGGGACATCTTCGATACCATCTGACCGAAAACGGATTTGATGCCGTCCGGTCCCGCTAAACCGCCCTTAGCTCTGGCTCTTTTCACTTGTATCCTGTTCAGTTCAATCACAGGCCCATGTTGGCGGTCTCTGACCATCGTAGCTTGAATGACTTTGCGGAACGTCGCTTCCTTTATACTGTACACCAGCATAGGCGCTAGCTTACTCAGTCCAACATGGCCGGTGATTGGAAACATAGCCAAAGCGGGGCACAAAAGCTCCGCGAAGTGGTGTAGTAACACTAATCTATTGCGCAGTACGGAATACGACAGATCTTTAACCAAGTCGTACTCCATAGGGGTGGAGGCCGGCATTCTGCTCTGCGTGGCCTTTGCGGTGCTCCAAGCTAGCGTATGCGCGCTACCGCAAGCGACTCGCGTAATTTTCTTCCCTTGCAAAGCGTGCACTAATCTGGGCCGATGAAGCGCGCTCGTGGTGCCGTCGCCAAGCTGGCCTTCGTCGTTGTCGCCCCACGTAAAGACCTCCCCTTTGTCGGAGCACGCGACGCAGTGCAATGAGCCCGTAGCTATTGAAATAATCTTCTTTCCTTGCAACGCGGCTACCTTACGTGGTCTACGTACATGATCGTCCGTGCCGTGGCCCAAGCGATGATAGTCACCTTTGCCCCTGTGCGTAAATAAAAAAAAAATAAAATTGTAAATAAAAATTGGTGAAGAAAAATCTCAGAACACAGTGTAATAGACAATTAATACCAGGTATAAACCGCTCCGGATCTCGTTAGAGCGACTGAAAATTGACTGCCGCATTCGACTTTGATCACACCGAGTCCGACCAAGGAATCTATCTTCAGCGGGACTTTACAACCGTCGCTACCGCCTCTACCTAACTTTCCGTAATCACCGTCGCCCCAGCTCCACACGGCATCATCATCGGTCACACAAAGTGTCTGTGCGTCGCCGCTCCCGCAAGCTACATCGATCACCTTGTAATCTTGTAAAGCCTCCACTACTTTCGGTCGTAATTGATCGTCGCTATCGCCATGTCCGAGACGTCCATAACGTCCTACAGAAAAATTTAAAGAAATAAAAATTCAATCGCAACATGTTCTGCTAAAATAATGTTTTTAAATGTTAATATTTGCTTAAATATTTCGGTATACGTTTGCATTCTGAAGTAATGTAAATCAAATTTCTCTCACGTTAGCATACAATTTTTGTTCTAATTCCAAAAGTAGATTGTTTTTTTAATTTGTCAATTAAAGATAAAATGTTGCATATACTTTTCACATTTCAACTAATTTCTAGACTGTTTTGCACAATGTGTAAAATATACATCGAATTTGTTAAATAACATTTTGTACTGTAAATATCAATGATCTTTTTTACCGCAATGCAAATATCTGCATTTTGAGTAATTTTATATAAAATTCAATATTTAATATATGTAACGAATATTGAATATTTTCACACACAAAATTATTAGAAGTACCAATCGTTCGCACTCATACTTTACCTTTTCCCCAAGTGTATAGCCAACCAGCGCTCGAAATTGCGGCACTGTGATGTCCACCACAAGCTATATCTACGATTTCTAGGCCGAGTAAATCCTCAATCAACTTCGGTCGATCGAACGACACTTTGTTACCATGTCCCAATTTGCCGTCGTCGCCTTCGCCCCAGGAATACACGTGACCCTCTGAACTTAGAGCAAGGCAATGCTTTCCGCCGGAACTGACGGCCACTTTTTTAATGAAAACGTGCTGAATGGACTCCAACAATGCCGGGATCATAACGGAATCCGTTCCTCCTATTCCAAGACGTCCCGCAGCTCCGTAACCTGCAATAACATTAAGATTTAATATTTACGGCATTTAAATAATAGCGAATTTAGTTGGATGCCACATGATGCAGATTAAAGCCTGTTTTATATTTTAATCTAATTAGAAAAAAAAGAACATAAAACATTCCGAAATGCTTAACGTATATTTTATTAAAAAACAATCCTAGTGAAATAATAAATTGTATTGAATATCTCGCAAATCTAATTCACTTAGATGCTATGTATTTATTTTTATATAATTTGTGTACGAGATTTTAATGCGCACTACTGTATTTAATCAAATTTGTTATCAATTAATTAACAGATTGATCTTACCTGTTGAATAAACTTTTCCATCGGCAGTGACGGCGAACAAGGTCTGTTCGCCACCGGCTAGTTGAATGGGTCTGAGCGCGGAGAGGCTCTCGCACGGTGCAGGCAACTTGACCTTCGGACCCTCCAGGCCTCCTAATTGACCTCGGTGATTGTGACCCCATCCGTAAATCGCGCCGGATCCGTCCCAGGACAGCGTCCAGTCCTCCGGTCGGCGATTCAGCCACTGCAGCAGCTGCTCGTCGTGTCCTTGCTTGAACACACTGTGATTTTCGTGATCCTTCGTGTACTCCGCGTCTCCGTCCATCGCCATTTCGTTCAGCTGCTTCGTGACTTCGTGGCAGAACGCTCTCGGCAGCGAAGTGCGCTCGACGAGCGACTTCGCCACGCGCGCCGCCAGGCAATACCTGCGGAACCAGGACCACTTGTGCACCTCGGAACAGAACTGCATCCCGTCCAGTTCGAGGTCGCACGCGAGCGCTACGAGGACTTTGAAGAAGTCGCTGTGCATCAGTTGCTTGCCGCCTCTCACCAGGGGATCCTCGTACGCGTACTGTCTCAAGAGCGCTTGCGGCAGTGAACTTAGCAAGGACGAGAGTGCCACTTCGGGCTTTATGCCCGGTCCATTCGTGTAAACCACCTGCAATTTTCTCAACGCCCACATTCTCTGCTGTGCGGACAGGGTGCTCAGTTGACTGCACTGGCTCAGAGCGGTGGCCAGGCGGGAGGCGACGTTCCTGTCGGAATTTATCAGACTGTTGTCCATAAGTAGATGCTCGGCTAGAGCTATGTTCGGCTGCGACAGCACCGCACGGTCGGACTCGAGCTCGTACGGTGCCGTTTTCGCCAGAATCGGGTAGACGGTGAACTTCCAGCCCCAGCCGTTCACGGAGCCATCCGAGCAGAATCGCCATCTGAGCTCGTTCCCTTGGATTTTAATTTCCGGCCCCCACTCGGTCCACTCCCTGCCGGATCTGACGGCCACTACTCTGCCGCTGCCGTCCATTATCGTGAGCGGGTCGTGCCGCTTCTCCGTGGAACACTGCCGATCGAACTCCACGCGTAGCGCTTCCGCGCCGGGAATTTTCACGTGGCCGGTCAACGTGGTGTCGTCTATATAAGGATGCGGTGTCTCCTGGATCACAGGCTGCGGCGTGTTATTCACGTTATTACTGTTCGCCGCGGTGTCCTCCAATTCTGTCACGCACAGTTCTAACAACATGCTGCCGATGGAGCCGTTGACTTTACCTAAAGCAATTAATACTGACGATGTCGTCTCTTTGGCCGATGCGTAAACTCTGTTGGCGACCGCCAGCTTCAGCAGGTCAACCAGGACTCTCGCGTCGTCCTCTGTCAACGCTGACGTGAATTCGTCCAGGCCGGATGCCATGGCGCCGTCCTCGCCCACTACTTGAGCGTTGGACGTCAAAGTAGCCGCAATGACGCTCATAGCGCTCGTTGACATCCTCGAGGCACGTGACGATAGACTAGCAGAGCTAGACATGGACATTGCCAGCATGGCTAGCGGGTAATCTTCTGATTCGGGAGTCATTTTCGGGCTGGTGGCCACGACAACGGCCTCCGCGACGTTCGCCGGAGCCTCGCCACCTCCCTGCGCGATGTCGCCCACGTTTTGATAAACCGCGTGCTCGGTGCTCGACGTCATGGCTACTTCCTGAGGTGGAATTATGTCCATCACTGGTGCGATCGGCGCGTGCTTCGCCGACGCGCAACCGTGCAACGTGGAATGACTCTGCAGAGACGTCACTATCGCTGCTCGCGCCTGCATAATGAGAAGGGCATTAATTACGTGCTGCAAAGCTTGCTGCTTCGCAACATTGCTCTCCAGCGTGAGTATTATGGTGGCTAGTGACGGCCGGGTGGCGCCGCCACCATTCGTCGAGGTGACAATGCAGTTTTGCTCGGGCGTGCTGCTGAGACCCAGACACATCTGTCCCAGCGGATCCCTCGCTGTTGGAAACGTGACCGGTTCCTGGTTGCCGTTGCTAGGCTGATCGACCAGCACCCAAGCGATACTGTGACTAGAGCCGCAGGAAACTCTGTTCACCCTCGCGTCTTCCAAGTCGTGCACCAACGACGGCTTCCTGTTCACGCTCGTCGTGCCGTTACCCTGCTGCCCATGATCGTTGTCGCCCCAAGCGTACACCTGACCCGTGTCGGTCACCGCAAGACAGTGCAGCGCGCCAACGGCTACGTGAACGATTTTTTTACCTCGCAGACCCTCCACCAGAGTGGGTTTCCTAACGTGGTGATCGTTGCCGTGACCCAAACGGAAATAATCGCCCTTTCCCCACGTCCACACCTCGCCGTACTTCGTCAGGGCGAGCGAAAATTGTGCGCCGCATTCCACTTGCACGACGCCCAATCCGGTCAATCGCTCCACCAGCAGAGGCGTGTAACAGCCGTCACTGCCGCCGCGGCCAAGTTTACCGAAATCACCGTCGCCCCAAGAGTACACCAGGCCGTCGGTCGTCAGTGCCATGGTCTGCGCGTCCCTGCTGCCGCAGGCCACCTGGACCACTCTCTGCCCGACCAAGGCCTGCACCAGCTTCGGTCTCGTTTGCGTGACGGTGTCGCCGTGACCCAATCGACCGTACTCGCCCAAGCCCCAGGTGTACAGTTCGCCGTTGCTCGCGATCGCCGCCGAATGCCCCGATCCGCAAGCAATGTCGCGGATCCTCTTCGACTTGAGCGCCTCGATGAGTTTTGGTTTGTCCAGCGATATACAATTGCCGTGGCCGAGCTTGCCGTCCTCGCCCTCGCCCCACGAGAACACCTTGCCGTCCTGAGTGAGCGCCAGCGCGTGCTTCCCGCCAGAATGCACCGCCACCTTCTTGATGACAAACTGGCTCAGGAACGGTATGGGTTTCGGCTCGCACACGTTATTGTCGTCTCCTAGGCCTAGCCTGCCGTTCGTGCCCTCTCCGCAGGCGTACAACTTGCCCTCTTGGCTGACAACGAAGAGGGTTTTGCTGCCACCAGCTATGTGAGTAGGCTTCAGTTTCAACAGGACTTCGCTGTAAACGGGCAATTTGATTTTAGATCCCTTCAAACCCCCCAACTGATCTTTATCGTTCAAACCCCAAACATAAACGGCTGATTGTTGAGGTGGTACATCAGTGTTGCGTTGCACTGCCACTTGTTCCTGTAGAATCTCCCAATCGGACGCGAGGAAGGACACCGAGGTCATCAGCTGATTTTCGAATTTGTTCTGTCGACCGATTATGCGCAGGCCGTGTATCTTGCAATCTATGCCGCCATTCCGACATTGCTTTATCGCTATCTCGACGCAGTGATAATATTCTTTCACATCTTGAAGCAGCGTGACGCTGGTGTCTGGTGTAGAATATCGTATGGTTATTGTTTTCAGTTCCGCTAAGTTAGTAAAAGAGTCGCCTACATTGACCGTAATTATAGAAGGCATGTAGCTGCTGTCCTGCGGATTAACGATGATCTTCAAGGAATGTATCCATATTCCGGGCAGCATCTCCAGGCGAATCCAGTGCTTGCCCTGCGTACCGCAGCTTTGCCAGTATTTTCCCGATCCGTCCACCAGACGCGACGCCCAATTTTCTCGCGAGGACACGCTCAAACTCGTGAGACACTTCGACCAATCGTCGATCAGATACGACTCCGATAAATCCTGCCGATGATATCGGCCGGGCTTTCCGGCGTAAACGGCCGCCGAGCCGGGTTCCGCGATTCTGTTGAAACCGTGCCGGTGCGAGCGTTTCGTGTAGAAACAATTCTCGCACAGATTATAATTGTCGCAATACTTGCACTTGAATCGGGGCCCTGAAATCGGCGACAGGCAGCACGAATTACAAGTCACCGAGTGGCAGGACGGCACCTTCTCCATCTCCGCGACGCAGCCGGTCCAGTCGTGCTGCTGCGGAAAGTCCACGCACACGTTCTTGCCGTTGTTGGTGATCGCGGTGACCACGCCAACGGAATGGTGATTCACCGATCCCCAGTTATACTTCGGCTCGGCCACCGACGCTTTCACTCTGACCTTGTCGCCGATCTTCAACGGGGGCGGCGGACCCGGTAAGGACGGCGGATAACCAAGCAGTTCTATATGTATAAAACGCACCCAGTACATGTAGCCCTTTCGCTGCCAAGTAACCTGCGCGTTCAGATCGTGCAAATTCTCCGCGTCGATCTTCACAACCTGGCCGACGTCGCCGTACTCTACCTCCTCGTAACTCTTGCAGCACCGCACCAGCATACCCGGCATCACGTTGTCGCGCACGTAGATCGCATACTCGTCGACGGACAGGAAGTCCGAGCGCTTCATGTACGTCGGCGGTGCGCCGCCGATAGCGGTGGCGCCCTCCTGTCCCGACGGCGAGTCGTCCAGATCCTCGCTGATCGAGTCATCACTGCCGTCGGTCAGTCCGTCCAGACTGGACAAGGTTTCTGTGTCGCTGAGGGCGGCATCCGGATTCTCCAGCAGCCAGCCTACCACACTCTCCGCCGTTAGATTGCCAAGCTCGGTGACGCTCATGTTTATGATTGCCGACTCGACGCTCTTCCTGTTGAAACCCATCTCGACCAACTGAGTCACCAGGCGACACGTGGGCACCGCTGCGGAGCTCCTCCTCGCCGTCGCGCTGCCTTTACAGTGTTTCCTCTGGCTCGACGTTAAGGAAACTAACGAGCAGTCGGACGTAGGAGTGGTGGGATCTGAAGCCAGGCCTGTACGTTGAATAGGCGTGTGTCTCAATTCGGACGCCAGATATTGAGAGACCGCCAGAGCAGCCTCTTCTAGTTCCTTACGCTTGAATATCGGTTTCAGTGGTTGCGGTTTCGTGGCGCGCAACAGCATTTCCTGAAGAAGCGGCAGAGTACGTCTGTCTTCGTCATTAATGTTACTGATCAACGAGAACTTCAGGATCCTCCGCAATTTCACCTGATAAGCGAGCATGGCCTTCCCGGCATTCAGGGCCGCGAGTTGTTGCTGCTGGCTGCGTAATATCGACGCGTTGACGACGCCGGCGATGACCGGCATGCCGCCGGGTCGTTTGTCCATACTGGAATTAGCGCCTAAAAGCAGATTTGCCCAGATAGATACGAGCGGTTCCGTTAAAGGCATTCTGTCCAGTTGGAATTTCTCGTTAATTCGCTTCACCGTGTGAAACGGGACCACCTTCCGCGTTCCATTGCCGTTCCACAGTTGTACGAGAAGCTTCGAGTGCTTCATAAACTTGCAGACTGTGCCTACCTCGCTGTCGGAATTCACCAAACCACCGATTCTTATTCTATTATCTAAACCACCGATCACGATGAGAGTCGCCATAACGGTTCGCTGGATGCACAGGCTATTTTCGCCGCCATTCTCGTTCATTTGTATGTGATATAGCGGACCGTCAGTGAAAACGTCCACCGCCAAGGCCAGCTTCGACGAGAGAAATCTGTTTATGGCGTCGTTCCAACCGGGAAGAGAATGCAGAAATCTAATTAGCCATATCAACTCTTCAGCGACGGTGGAACTGTACGACGCGGTCAACGACAACAAGGACTTGTTCGACTGAAGTTCGGTGCCGGCAGAAATCTCGCACGTAAGAGCTACCTGGCCCAAAATCTCGAAGGCCTTCTCCAGGAACTGCGTCATGTCGCCAATGACAATCTCGTTCGCCCACGACGGCAGAACGGCCGCCAATAGTTTCGTGATCATAATCTGCTTCTCGAGGGAAGGCTTAGACTCGTCGACAATGATGTTCAACAGAAGATCAAGCCACGTCTGCGAACTCAAAGACTTGCACAATCTCGTGGATCGCGCGATCGCTCTCAGGAGACCAAAAGTGGCCCAACTCTCGTGATGCTGTCTCGCCAACTGAACCTGCGTTGTTAAATCACTGGATCTGTTTGCGGTTGATATTATACCGTGAAGCGTAGAGGTTAGGATCTTGATGGACGTGCCCGGTACCTTATCCGCTTCAACGCCGCAGGAAAGTAAAATTATCCGCAGCAAGGTCGTCGAGGCCGATTTCAGGCAAGTGGTCGGATGCAAATCCTCTCCGCGAAGACCGTTGTTCTCCGCTTTGTTCGCATCGAGCGAGGTGTCGCTATCGGTCTCGTCGCTGTCGTCGTCCGGCGGTGTCGGCGGATCGGCGAGCTTCAGATCGTACTTGCCTTCCTTGCCCATGCGATACGAGTTCGTCGCGCCGTTGTCCCACTGCACTCTAATCCATCCGTCCTCACCGAGCTCGCCGATGACTCTACCAACGCCGGGCGGCGGTCCGTCCTGATCGCCCCACTTCCAATCGGCACCGCGTACAACTCGAGTGCCAACCTTCATCAGCGCCGCCAGCTCCATGCCGCTAAGCTGCACCGTCGGCGGTTTGTTCTTGAGAAAGATGTCTTCGTAGATCGCGGTGATCTCAGTCTTAATCTTCGACGCCTCGCCGTCTGCGCCCTGCTGTCCCTGGCACTCGCCGCCCTCGCAGAAGCTCGCCGACGACGGACCGATTTGCCTCAACAGAGTCAGAATGCTCGACAGCAGGCCCGAATTGACGAGTAGCCCGATCTCGTTGGCGCATTGATAATTCGTCAACATGCCGAGGATGGTCAGCAGAAATCTCGCCCTGGGCAATTTCCGCAGCCAGGTGTAAGTGCCCTGATTCAGGCTGCTCTTTCCGCTCACCTTCTGCTTGCTCGGCAGCTCCGCCTGCACGACATACGCCCGCAAAGCTTGCACCGCCCATGAGATCACCTCCGCTTCCGCCAGGATGACCTTGGACTTGTGATAGGGAGTCGTCAGTTGTATATCGTGCAGACAATGCGTAATCCCGTCGCTGAGAGACTTGTTTTCGTATGTCAAGCCGAGCCAGCCGTTGAGCAGGGAATACTTCACCGATGGTATCAGATAATCTCTCTTTAGCAACTCGCGCATCATCAGGATGCCTTGCTCCCGCACTCGGGCGCGTTGCATCTGGCAGTACATCGCACGGCGCAGCGCCTCGACGTCCCCGCCGATGCCGTCGTTAATTACGAACTCGATGATGCTCGTCATTAGGCCGTTGCAATCGGCGTTGGCCCACTGTATCGGTCCGCATCGAATCTTTTCGGCCATCTGCATAATCTTGTTCTTAATATCCGATATGTCTTCAAGCTTCGTCGTGGAAGAAGCCGCGACGGTCAGGCCTTCCTTAGCGGCGGACGTTGTATCTCCGTCCGGCTTGTTCTTCGTTTTGGCATTTTGTATGGACGCGTTCAAGATGTCCTCCGGCTTGCCGCCTCCGCAGGATGAATCCTTGTTCTTGCGAATGTCCGCCAGGACTGTACAGGCGGCTCTTTTGAATCTAGGAATGGTATGCAGCAGCTTCAAGTCCTCGAATCCTTTGACTTCGTGACTGGTCGCAGATCTGACTTCGTACAAGAGGAATCTGCATCTCTCCTGCGCGGGCGCGCAGACCTCCTTGTAGCTCCTGTTCTGCTGCTGCCTGATCCGCACCAAGTTCCATTTTGTCTGATAAATTGCGCGCGCCATGTCGGCCAGTTGATTGACCAACCTCGCGCTGTTCGCAAATCTCAATTCCTGTTCCGCTAACGCGAGCGCCTGCTGCCCCAAGCCGAGATGTTTGATAATCACAGCCATGAGGACGCGACTGATCTCCTCGACGGGATGATCGCCGCAGAAGTCAGCGTGGGAGAATAAATTGTTAGCCTTAGAATACCTTTCGACTATCGTCAGGAACGTTCGCACGTGGCTGTCTTCGGTTTTATGCGCCTCCGCCAATGCGTGTATAAACGCGATCGTACGATCGTCGTTCTCCTTCTGCTGTTCGTTCTTCGTGTGCACCGGAAACGGCGGTTCCGTCGGCGAGTTGGCGGCAGTCGACGTGTTGCTCCTCGCCTCGTCCTTCTCTTCCTCGTACGGATTCGGCGGTTGCAGAACCTGCAGGCCGCCCCTTAAGAAATTCGCCGTCAGCCACACGCCGGCCTCCTCTTCCGCCGACTGAAGGGTCAGACTCTGCCGCATTCGGTAGGCGTGCAGGCCCAGCAAAAATCCCAGAGCTCTCTCCGTGTCCAGAAGGGACGAGCAGACATCCGTCACCTCGATCGTGACCCGCGCGTTCTCGTCGGGCTCGGCGTGGCAGTAAAAGCCGACGAAGCAGTCCATCATGCCGCGCGGCGACGACAGCTGGCCGTATTGCGCCACCGCCGTCGTTTCGTCCCGTCCGACAACGTATCGCTGCAGCACCTCGTAAGGCGACCAGGAACTCTCGTTCCTGATATCCTGCACGTCGTAAACGTTGTTATTCACCACCACCCAGAGGCCGCCGTCGCGATTGTGATTCTCCAAGTCCGCCCAGCGTATTAGCGACGGTTCTTCCTGGATGGATATCTTGTTTCCGTGCTGCGGCGCGATGATCCCCGGCCACGACAGGTCGTCCGCCTCGTTCTTCTCCATCGTCGGCGCCAGCTTCACAAAGTGGTCGAGCGCGTCCAAAATCGGCGCGATCACCTCCATCCAGTTCATGTCGATCAGCAGCATCGGATAATCCACTTGTAACAATATCAGACACGTCACGAGCTCGGACAGCAGGACGTTGATTATGTCACCCTTCAACACGCCGGCGATGGAGATGAAATCCTTGACGGAACGGCCGCCCATCTCGGCCGCCAAGGGCAGGATCTCGGTCGCGTGGTCGCAGATTTGCGCGATGTACTTCTTCAGCAGCGACTCCGCGCCCATCATCTCTTGATCGTGCAGATCTTCCGTGCGAGACTTGCGCGTGATGCACTCGTACACCTGCGCGATCAGTAATCGTTGAAAGCGCAGCAGAAGATTCAAGCTGGGTGAATTGTCAAATCTTCGCAGATGCTCGTTTCGATCGATCTGTTGCGAGCCTTGCTGCAATCTGGATTGCGTGATGCACGTGCCGTTTCTGATCAACTGCTGGATCAGCTGAAGCAGCGAGATCGTTGTGATATTCTTCCCGGAATTGAATCCGTCTTTCAAGCCCTGTCTCGTCTCGGTCTTCACTTTGATGGCGTTCGATGTGCCCACGTCGAGGAAGTCCTTCTCGTCCGGCATGTCCGCTATTTCCGCTTTAATCGCCGCTTTCAGCGCTAACTCCAATCCGCCGTCCACCATCAAACTCGACACCAATAAATCGGCCATAAACCGCTGCCCGCTGTTTATATAAATATTCACCGTGCTCGATTGCTCCACATTGTTCGTGGTATTTGGCAGAAAGCTCGACAGTGTCTTCGCGCGCTCGTTAGCCGTCGGTAACAATATACTCCAACCGGTTTGCAAGACCGCCTGCGCCGCTTCCTGTATCGTCGCCAAGATACCGCTCGCGCTCGCCAGATTAACGCAGCGTTGCTTCAGCGAGTTCAGCAGCGAACTGCTGGCGGCGAGTCCGACGGATTTAGCGTCGATGTTGTGCGTCAGCATTGTGTGCAGCTGTAATCGCAGCAGATTGAGCGTAGCCACCGCCAGGCACTCGCGATCCTGCGTGGGCGGTCGTATGCCCGGCAGGCCCTCGCAGGACTTCGCCAGAAGAGTGTCGAGTAGCTGGAACGTCTCCTCGCAGATGTCGACGACGAAAGCCACGCGGCTGGCGCCGCCCGACCACGCTGACATACACCAGGCGAAGCTCTGGGTCGGCCCTGACGCGAGGCCAATGACAGTCTTGGAGGACAACGTCGGGCACAGTGTCGGCTCGGACACGACGGGGCCTAACGTGGGATCGATCTGCCCGTAGTCATTCCTGCCCCATCCGTAAACGAACTGATCCTCCGACAGCGCCAATATGTGCGTCGTACCTACGGATAGGTCTTTGATCTTCTTGTCCCTCAACAACTCGATGACCTTAGGATATCTGACGTGCTCCTCGCTGCCGTGGCCCAAGCGATACGCGTCACCTTTGCCCCACGTGTACACTTCTCCGTGGGCCGTCAGCGCTGCGGAAAACTGTCCGCCACAGAACACCTTCACCACGTTAATGTCGAGAAGTTTGTCGACGATCTTCGGCGTTTTGGATCCGTCCGTGCAGCCTCTGCCGAGCTTGCCGTAATCGCCGTCTCCCCACGAAAAAACGATGCCGGATGCGGTCACGCACAGCGTCTGCGAGTCGCCGCTGCCGCAGGCGACGTGCACCACCGTGTGACCCTTCAGTGTCGTCACTAACGTTGGAGTCAGAACGTCGTCGAAATTACCGTGACCCAGTCTGCCATAATTTCCTCTTCCCCAGGTGTACAGCTCGCCGTTGGCGGTCAACGCCGCCGAGTACGTGCTGCCGCACGTTACGAACACGATATTCCTCTCCAAGAGCGCCTCGATCAGCTTCGGCTCGTCGTACGAGACGGTGTCGCCGTGTCCGAGCCTACCGCCGTCTCCGTTGCCCCAGGAATACACGCAACCGTCCTGCGTCAGCGCCAAGTAGTGCTTGCCGTCGGAATGAGACGCGATCATCATGATCGGTTTGTCGGAAAACCCGTGCACTCGCTGTGGATATTGCGTCTCGGAGCCGTGATACATGTTGTAAACATTGCCGTTCAACGACAGTATCATCAACGCTCGCTCGGTGCAGCACAACTGTTTTATGCCCAGCTCCGCGATCGCGTCGCAATAAAACGGCGTTGACCCGTTCCCGAACTTTACACCGCCCCAAGCTAGAACTTCTTGAAACGTCTGCCTGCCATTTCCGCTCCGTGGAAATCCGTGTTCGGCGTTGGCGGGTGGTAAGAGGGGAGCGGCCAGTCTGCTCAAATTGCACATGATGATAACCGCGGCTTTCCTCAGGTCGACCGACACGGCGTCATCGTCTGGCAGTCGCAGATATTTCAGCAGTACTTCGCAGGGTCCGGGTGTAACGTTTCCGTCAAGATGTCTGCGCGATTTCGTCGCCGGTATCATATTCAGTCGTCGTAACAATGGCACGAGCGGTGCCGTGCTTCCGGGCGGCGTAACTCGATTGTCTTGATTTTTATTTTTACCACTGAGATGAAGTAGTAAAACCACAGAGTCCAATAAACTAGAGAGAGTGGCTCTTTGCGCAACTAATTCCAATAGCAAACAAAGGGCCGTGTGCTGATCCGACAGTGGCACTGGACGCCATGATCGTCCAGTAGTTACTTCCCTAAAAAAGAAAAAATAAATATTAATTATAATGAATAAATATAATCTTTTGTTTTAATATATTGCTTGACAAAATAAAAGATCAATTGAAGGCGAGAAATCAAATTTCTGTACCAATAATTTAATTTAATAATTTTCCTTTGACAAAAAACAAGTGTCAATAATTTTCTTTTGCAAATTAAACTTTATAGTAAAATAAAAGAATGCTATATGTATTTAACTTGAGATAAATTTAAATAACATTCTTAATTGCTAAAATATCTAATATTGAAAATGAAAGAAAATAAAATTCAAGCAATTTTTGCAAAGAAAAAACCAAGTGTAGATCGTTCAAGAAATACACATGCAAGTTTTGAAATTACAACTCAAACAATAAATTTTCCAAAGTTCATAAAAGTAATAATATATACCCTGTAACAACTTGTCTCAAAAATTTAGCTGATCTTTCTACAACTTCCAACCAGACTTGCGAGACGTTACTTTCGTCGAAGAGAGTTGCCTCGGGTAACGATTGCAACGCTTCCAACGATTCAGTCAATAATTCACTACAAAACTCGACGTCTTCTCCGGATCTCCAAGCCCGTCTTAAATACGCGAACGAGAAATTGAGAGCCGCACGTGAACCAACACGCGCTAGTCCTAAGGTCGCCTTTTCGTTAGGTCTCGGCCTGCAATTTATAAAAATTTAAGTACTTATTAAGAATTATTTTACTTTAATTCAAACAAAACTGAAAATAACATACTCGGAAGAGGATCAAGATACAAGTGTATATCGATACTCTGCGTGCACGAGAAAACAAATCACATAGGAATTTTGGCCAGTGCTGTATGTAAGGTTTGCAATATAAATGCATTGCTTTATGTAATTAAACACATATTATATATACATGAATATACTCAACGTTTTTTGTAATTTTCCAATAGACTTTGGTAGGTTCGAGGTATCCTTAATCTCCTGCGGTTTGTGACGAGACAGAGCGGTGAAATATCTTCTGGCGACTATTAAGCGTTGTCTCAATCGTATCGCGGATAATGTGCTATTTGCAACTTTGCAACATAGTTTACGTTGCTCCTTTATTGATAAATTGATGCAGCCTTTCAAATCTGTTAATGCTGAAAAGGAATGCAACATAAATATATATTAATATAAATGTAGTACACAGAAATATCAAATCTGTGTTCTACATTGAACATACAAACATAAATACACACAATAAATTTAAAAGTTATTAATGTAATATTCAATCAAATATATAAATTATTTATATCATATAAAGAATCAGAATATCAAGATATAATTGTAGAGATCAATATTTTTTAAAACAAATAACTCTTATTAAATTTCTTGTTATATATAAAGTTTTTAAATACGTACATGAAACTTTATCAATCTAAAATAAAACATAAATAAAATAAGATAACAAAATAAATGTCTTTACATGGCTGTGGTCCCCAAAGCCATGAGTCCATTATACGCCGAGCAGATACAGCCTTCTCCACCATTGCTGTTGTTCTTGCTGTTTCTTCTTCATCCAATTTCTGGCAAGGAGTACAATTACAACCATGTTGTGGACCACAAATTCCATCACAACACAGACAAGACAATACTCTCATACCACAATAATAATGGCCATTTTCACCTGAGAAAATATGCATACAAAAAAATAGTTAAAAATATTTGTAAAGAATTGCTGCTTGCATTCTTTTGATCTTTTGATTTTTATTTTCCTCTTTTTAGAAAATAAGAATATGCTTGTTTTATTTATATATACAGATGTTTAATAAATCATATATATTAATAAGCATAGATTCTTATTTGTCATTAATTCTAATCACACGTGTTCAAAAAACATTAAATATATTTAATATACATACACATACTGAGATAGAATGATATAAATAAAATATAAAAAGATACATATTATTTATTTATTTCTGTAAAATTATGTTTTTAATAAAGAAATGAAAAGATTTCTAAATTTCTTCAAATTTAATTGGTATATGCTCACCCTTCTTTGCTACAATTCCTGCAGAATTGATTAAACCATCACTGAAGGAGCCGACAATCTCGCCATCCCGTACCATTTCATTCCACAATTCAGCCAATCCATCACGATAAAGAAAACGTTGTAAGTCAGTCTTCAACCACTTGGCATCCAATCTTACTTCTGGTCTCACTGTTATATTTAGTTGGCTGCTCATTTTGTCTAGTGTTACTTGTACAACTTTCTAATATACAATCTGATTCATTAATTTAAAGGTAAACAGATGAACAGATTGCATAAAATTTAATTAAAAATAATAGTTTTGTTTCCTTAGAAAAAATTGCTTTCTTTTCTTGCTTCTATGCAATCGCATGTCGGTTGTTAATCTGCTCCACGACAGATCAATAAATTAGACAATGTTACCTCAAGATTAATTAATAAATTATCGTAATTTCAAACCCTAAACTCAAATAAATTATCCTAAACTCAAACTTTCAACTCAATGCGTTTTCTTAAAAAAAAGACGTTCTTCGCATGAGTTTTCTGAGGCTGCGAAGTGTGTTTAGGAGCTGTTCGGGCTGCACGATAGTCAGAAAGAGAGGTTAACAATTTGCACACTTTGCGATGTTTCTCCTCAAGTTTTTGTTCTTTCCGTCCCGGTGATTTCACCTCTCATCACCATCTGTAAATATTCATCACCGCCGGTCAAGTAATCGTAACTAACAAGTTATTCGAATGTTGTGACATCAGGATATGTATCTCCTTATTTTGACATACCACACATTCACGCACGCACCATGCGCGCGCGCAACCACGCTCTTCCGATTCTAGAATTCCTATAATACGGGCCAGTCTACAATGGCCGCATTTAGCGGACTAAACAGTTAAGCAAAGTTACTAGATTCTCCGCTGAATGCACCCAATTTCTCTATGCATATGCATTATGCAAGTTTGTCTGGATAAGCCCTAATGTAACCATATAGTGTTTTATATATTAGCTACGTGATTGGTCAACTTTCTTATGTTTTGTAGTATGCAATAATTCACATTCTTTTGAATATCTTAATAAAGAGGCAAATTTGGCTATGACTTTATAGGTTATGTTCTCCATTGAATGTTGCAAAATATTACAGTATCCGTAGAATACTGAAATAAAATATATAAATTAGTAAAACTGCAATAAGCAAAGACGAGATTATAAATTTACACAAAAATATGTTCAATAGCATAAAACATTTACTGAGATATAATCCGAGTAAATTTGGTGAGAAATGCATTTTGATAAATTCGCAATATTTTACTATGAAAAAATCTGTTATTGCTATAATTATGGAACTGTAATAAACCTTTTGTACACTTCTCATTTTTATTGTATTTTAGGTTATCAATTACTGGCATACTTCTCAGTGGAAACGACGGTTAAGAGTAATCCAACACAGCGAGAATGCACACGAAATCCTTATCCGCATGCGACGTGCGGACAGCCGACATTTACAACGCATCCTTATTTAATAAAACGCGGAGAGGTACTGCCAGGCATACCGCTTCAGGAACTTAAACAAAGACGTGCTAAATTAGTAGAACATCTTGTGCTAGAAACACATGAAAAAAATATAAATAGGCAGCAAATTGTTGTCATACCGGCGTCTTCTAAGGTCTACATGTCTGACAAGATACCGTATGTCTTTCGACAAAATACAGATTTCTTATATTTCTCTGGGTGTCAAGAACCAGATAGTGTCTTGGTGCTTACATGTAAGAAGGATAAATCTTTCTTTACATTATTTGTACGGTCGAGAGATGAGCATTCAGAATTGTGGGATGGTCCAAGAACTGATGTTGAAACGGCAGTTGAAATATTCGGTACGGATCATGCTCTACCAGTTACAGAATTCGAACGTTTTCTCACATCGCTCATACAGGAGGATAAAAAGAGCATCATTTGGTATGATCATTCTGATGTTGTTCAACCAATCTTACATAAGAAACTGTGTCAATTAATCAAATTGACGGACAATCAAATATTTGCTTCCCCCAAGACTTTCTTTCATCAAATTCGCGTAATCAAGAGCGCTTGTGAAATCGATCTGATGCGGGAGAGCTGTCGAGTAGCCTCTGATGCTATTGCGAAAACGATTCAATTCTCCAAGCCGGGGATGAGCGAGCACCAGCTATTCGCTACCGTAGATTACGAATGTCGTATGCGCGGAGCTGAACACTTAGCGTACCCTCCTGTCGTGGCAGCGGGCAGAAATGCAAATATAATACATTATATTAACAACAATCAAGTTATACAAAGCGGCGATTTGGTTTTAATGGACGCAGGTTTGTATCGAAACGCATAGAATTGTCGCGTACAGCCAAAATTAAAACGCTTTTGCATTTCTATTCACTTACAGGCTGCGAGTTTCACGGCTATTCGTCCGACATAACTCGAACGTGGCCGATTAGTGGCAAATTTACACCGGAACAAAAAGTCCTTTACGAAGTGGTGCTCGACGTGCAAAAGAATTTAATAGAGAACCTGAAAGAAATGCCGTCGTTGGACAACGCGTTCCGTCACATGTGCCTCATTTTGGGAAAAAGATTGCAAGAAATCGGCCTGATACCGAAGAACGTGAGCGAAGAAAAATTGTTGGCAGCCGCGTACATGTATTGTCCGCATCACGTCAGTCATTACTTGGGCATGGATGTACACGACACGGGAAAAATACCCAGAAGCATAAGAACGCAACCTGGAATGATAATAACAGTAGAACCTGGTACGATTTCAAGAGTTATTTCACATATTTAAAGAATTATTTTGTAAATTACATATAGCGTTTTTTTTTTTTTGTTACATTAGGCGTCTACGTAAGTCCAAAAAATCCGTACGCACCGTCGAACTTTCACGAATTAGGCATCCGTATAGAGGACGATGTCTTAATCACGGAAAACGGCCCGGAAGTCTTGACGAAAAATTGTCCCAAGGAGGTAGCGGAGATCGAATCTCTTGCAAGTCAAAATCAAGACTGTTAATATTGGTAATTTAATATAGACAATCGTATATATAAAAAAAATATAAGTATGTAATTAGTTAATAATTGCAAATCTAATTTGTATATATGAACAATTATGATTTCACGCTCGATTGTGATCTTTTCTTTTTTATATAATATTGAATATATCTGGTAAAATTAATTTTTTTACATTTTTCCAAATTTATTCTATTCGCAAACTGTTATCTACCTCGTAGGCGTAATTCTAGAGCTGTGCTTTGCGCGACATAGGCAATTTTATACACCAATGTATATATCTATATATGTATGTGGAATTCGCAGTTCTTTGTTTTGTTTTAGACATAAGATTTTACTGCAAAATTGCATTTTTTTAATTCAAATTTGTATAAACAATTTCACATTATTCGAAAGTTTGTTCCAGTGGAAGCAGATAAATATTACATATTTGGACCCAATAAAGCATTGCCAAAATTAACAAGAGTACAGTATATATCAAAAGAACTAACACGATCATTGATAAATTCAGTTGTATCTCACGCAATCTGTAATACAATCATACTGATATTTTCCGCAGGATAAAAATTGTATATAAATCTACATAGCAAATATATAATAGATGATATGCAATATCATGAAAGAAAAAATTGCAGACGACCAGTTTGTGCAAGACAAATCGAAAGTAACAAAAAGTCTAAAATTAATAAATACACTAAACGCTGTATAAAAAAAAATCAGTTCTCTTCACAATTGCGTTGCATATATATTCATGAGACTTAAAGAAGTAACGGATTGTCTTGATGTCTTCATTAATGCGTAGTAGTACATGATTAACGTTAAATCTAAACCTCGCAACTTCCTATCAACACGACGATTGTAACACTGGACGCACTACCGCAATTTAATATCGGCCTGTTTTAAACTTGTGAAGTTGTCGAGTTGTTTCGTTCGCAAGCGAGCCCAGATAATATGATTGTGCATTGCATGGATTTGTGCCGCTGCGAGCGCGGCGCCTTCTGGATGCACAACTGTCGTGCAGCCGAGTCCTGTAAGTATATTTAATTTCAGTTTCCGCAGAAAGCAAGTGCGATTATTGTTCATATAATTATTTGTAATACCTGAAGGAACGTCAAGTGAAGACCAAACGCTTCGTTCGATGTTGTCTGATTTCAAAGGCGGACAGTTTATGACAGGCAGCACGGAATTGCCGGAGAGCACTGGGCCCAAACCATTGCTGCGACCGGCTACCGCTATCAGCACCACCTATAAAAAAGAAACAAACAAGAAGAAAAAAAACTCGTGATAAACAGAAATTAATCTTTTTATAGCTACAGCGTTTCTTTATCGTAACGAGTTTTGTGATTAGTTTATGACATATAACGGGATGACACAAGCTGCTTCCATAGGTCAGTATAAACTGATAGTTAGCTAGCGTTAATTATCGCGAGTCATAATGAACAGTGTGAGAAATATTACGATAAATTTGCATCATATTAGCATATTGCTCCCGATTATCGATATTGTGCAATTTTATATCAATTATTTACTCGAACTGGATATTTGTGTAAGTTATTTATATACTAAATTTATTTCATCATATTCCATCAATGATCTTATCATCTTTCTAACGTCCTAATGTTGAACTAAATATCTTTAAAAAAATAATTCTAGAAACAGAAGACAATATGCTGTTAAATAATCGATAGCGAATATCTTACGATCTGTTTACTAAAATTGAAATTTTTGAAACATTTTTCTAATTCTCAGAAACATTTCAAAATTTTTGTTAAAGATCTGATTCGTGTTTGTCGAAGAATCCGTAGATAAAAAGTAGTGTGCGACGGAAGTTTAATAGATTTTCTATCTATTGAACTTTTATTACAACGAATTATATAAAAAGGATGAAATACTTCAGTGAACGTACGTTTTTTCCGCTGCCCTCGTATTCGGCAAGAACATTCAAAGTTTCTTGCGTCCCCTTGTGAGCGCTGCAGACTCGAAGTCGTGGTTTCAGACCGAAACGCATAGCGTGTCTAGCGATCTCATTACAATGCGCTTCGTCGGATGGCGAGCCCATGAATATAATGACCTCTGGATTGGGTGCTTGAATGATATAATCTAACTCATCATTTACCCATTTAAAATTGCACTTTACTGTTTCCAGGCTCTGCTGCGTTACGTTGGACAAATCCCTGTACACCTAACAGCAGATATAACAAATAGACAGTCATATTCGATGTAACATTGACAGAAACTGTATCGAACTGTCAGAATGACAGTCTCACCTGCTTGTCTTTCATCAGTCTCTTGTCTCCGGAAGGCCAGAGTCTCCAGGAATCGCTGTCGATAATGTCTGCAACTATAATCTCCCCATTTGAATCCACACCGAATTCAATCTTCATATCTATGAGAGCGCAATTGCGCACCGCCCAAGCTCTCTCAAGAATCTCGAAGACGACGAGAGTAATGCGTTTCATGATGTCCACCTCGTCCTTCGTTATCGTCACGCCGTTCAGACGGAAATTCGCGGAAATGATCTGCTCGTCGGACCACTGCGGATCGTGATTTGCGTCATCCTTGAAGAACGTCTCTTGCAGAGGCGGATTGAATCTGTGGCCTTCTTGGACTCCTAATGATAAAACAATAATTACGTGAGTATATCGAATATTCTTTTGTCAGTTCTAGAAAGGCAGCACGTGTGTTTTGACATACCCGGATGCCTTTTTAGAAAGCTACCAGTTGCCTGCCTCCTGGTGACCCATTCAATCGGTATCATCTCGCATTTTATCGCTATAAAAGATTTCGGGCCAGCAGATTTGACATAAGCTGTGCGAAGGCCAGCTTGCTGAAGCAGTTGGAAAACCTTTATAGTGGTGGATGTGCTAATCTCCGCCTTTCCTTTCAATTCGTGAGACTTTGCGCCGTCGCCAGCCGTAATCCGGTCCTTGCTTTCCAGCAAACATAATTTAGCGTCGTCCGGCAGCTCGTAAATTCTTTTGGTTTTCCCCTCGTTGATGAGTTTTCCAATTTTGTAATCTAGAAAGAAAAAGATAAAACGTCTTAATCAAAATGGGACAAATTTATTTTCATTTTACGCATATAAATAAAAAATTAATTCTCATTTAAATTCTGGAATCACACGTGAGTAAAAATAATCCATAAAATTAAATAACAAACAAATTTTGCTATATGAGCAAAAAATTAAGTTTTAATAATAAAAATAAAAAAATAAAAATTTTGTAACATAAAGACGAGAAGCGCGAAGGCTGGATTTTATACGGTTAATCTTAATAAAGATGTTTGTCGCGATAAGAGCATGTTAAGACAAACAGATTAGAGCAAAATGCCGGCCGGCATGCGTGGACAGTAGTTAGGCTATAGCATTATTAACCGCCTGTTGCTTTAAGAAATATTTTCAATCATTTTCTCGCACAATTGATTTCAGTCATGAATCATATGTGTAAATATCAAATAATTCATACTTGTAATTAATAACAATATGTATTTCAGGGTCAAACAATGCGTCATAAATCTACTGTAATATGAGCAAAGAGGAAGGGAGAGAAAGAAAAGAATTTAAGAGGCGTGTTTGACTAGCGTTATCATTAAATGATGTAACTCAGCAACTTCTTATCTGCTACGAAACTCACCCATATTGCCACTTCGATGTCTACTATTCGAATGGATGTAAGCCGCTCATCGCAACGTATACATTTCTTTGATTGTCCCCACTACAATCTTCGTCCATCCGTTCCGCGATTGGCTCGAAGTTTCTAGACCTTTGTTACAGCAATATGACATTAGAAGCGAAAAATCACACAAATATTTTTCTTACGCTCTAAGTGAGAAGTAAATAAATCCTGCTATATATCACAACTTATGTGTTCGACAGAACAGATTTGTGTAATGCGCAACTAATAATTCTCTTTTCAGCTTGTGGATTAATAGACAACCGCCAGTCTTGATCGATCCGTAAGGTTCATTCTCGCCGGAAACGCAGACACACATAGATCGATTTATGTGACCAATTGCTCATGAAGGTCAACTGGAAAGTTTTCGGCGTATTTTACTCATCCATGTTACCTAACATGCGTGTAGCGACTAAAAACTGGCACAACGGCATACCGGAAGAGAAACATTTAGACGAATTTTCGCTTTCAACGTCAAACGTGATGCAACATGTAGCTGTAGCGAATCAGAAATCTTAAAACTATTTCACTGCCATTATTCTCTTCCTGTTCAGGTAGTGGAAAAGCAATATTGGTAAGTGTAATTGCAAAGATTTTACTTCTTAATTCATAAAATTAGAACGAAAATACCAACAATATTTTATAATAATTTTATGAATGTAAAAAGAAAGTAAAATAAGCGAGTAATGTAGATTGAAGCATGTATAAAATTGCAAATTAATTAATAAATTATATCGTGTTTCACAGCTAACAGTCTCATTTCTCAAATTTCAATGAAGCCATGGAAATAAATACAATGAGGCTGAGTCCGTGTCATCGAAATTTGAATCTCGAAACCGCTCGAACAGCTCTCTGCTTTACGAAATTCAGATAACAGAGAGAAAGATTACGTCGTGTATCCGTCCGAAGCTAATGCTTGCGTTATTGGTAAGAGGCTTTCAATCATCATTCGTGACGTAAATCTTGTTTGGTGATCTATATCTTTACTTTGTATAATTCTTTTAGTGTGGGACGCGCATAGAACTCTTGTTGTTTACAGCGATTAGGAGTCTCCATCAAATATTTGTTCTTCTCGAGGCAGTTTAACAGAACGCGCCACCTTGTTTTGTTTTTTTCCGTGAAGAAAGGAGAACAATCGCCGACTCTTCGTGACCGATCACTCGAGCCCCTCCGGGCGACAACGTTCCCTCATTGGTCCGCAACATCGTTCGCATCGTTTGTGCTTTGCAACGCGTTAGCGTAGCATATTTTATATGCACGCAGACATTTGCCTGAAGTGATCAGGAAGACACACGTTTCTCAGCGCGGGCGCACGTGAGGTACGTACATCATTTTCTGCAATCCGATTTTTCTCGACTTCTTTCCAAGAGAATTGCGCGCAAACGTGCACGTGTTTCTTTTCATTTTTCAACGCACACGTTTCTATTCTAACAGGTACAAGCCTTTAATTTTCGAAATAATCTGACCGAATTTTCACCAAAGCACATTCAGATAGATTTATATAAATATGATATATTATATGCGGAAAGAAATCAATCACACGTGTTTGATGTACAAAATGTGACAAAGTAAAATTCATAATTTATTAGGTTTTCCATAAATGTCCTTCATGAAGCTATATAAATCCATCTCTGATAATGTTGCAAGAAAGAATAGTTTTCTTATATTTTAATATATATGTTAAAAAGAAAGTTATTGTGTTACTAAGAAATACTTTCAAAATTATCATGCATGATTGAACAATTTTGAAAAACTATTGTTTTAGGCACTTTTAATTTCATTACATTAACTCATTTATTACATATTATGTAGAAAATGGTATGTCCTGCCAAGTGTTATATATATATATATATATATATATATATATATATATACAACGTATATTTCTAAAAAATTAAACCGTTATTTATTGTTTGAATTTTTTAAGAGCAAAACTATTCAAACAATTATCTCGTTTACATATTTCTCTATTGTAATTTTTTCTACTTTACTATAAAGAGTCATTATAATGTTAGTTGTGTTCTGACCTTCATCATCGTACATTCACTAAGTTCGCCAAAAAGTATATGTAGAAATATTGTATTATGACTCAATTATTACAAGCGCGTTTTTGAATAGCTTCTTAGTCTCGATTTATAATAATTTGTACAGATATATTAATTTTCGTAACACGACAAAATTTTGCAAACGAGAAAAATTAATACTTTTAAGACAAAGTACACATTTTTAGTTTAGTTTTTTTGCAATTATTCTAAATTTTTGCTTTCACTCTTTAAAAGAAATCAAATATACTACAAATTCAATAATCGAATTTCAGAACAAATTAAGTGTAGCAATAATTAGAGTTTACGCGATAAAAATTGTAATAATTAAAAATCAAGCAGATTTTACAAGAAATTTTTTTTAGAAGTTATGAATATGTTATCAGATGATCAACAGATATTCACTTTATAATTTGCAACGTTGAGCGTAGTCTTTCCGGTTAGAATAACGTGTCAAATTATATCCGGTGTGCTTTGTTCAACAGGTGGTCGGAGTTCGCGAAAGTTGAAACGAGAGCACATTTTATTCGCGCTCTTTGTTTGATTAACAACAACGACGATTTCTTCGTCGCATAAATTTGTACAGTGCCTTTTTCTAATATTGTTTTTTTACTACTGTCTTTTACGTTATTCAAAAAGAGAGAATGTGAATGTATAATGTAAATTGATTATCTCACGTGTTGTGTAATGACACTTGATAGCATCAGTCGCTTCGGAGATTAAATTTTAGATAAATTAATGCTGTGACATTGTAGGATTATTTATATTTATTCCAAATTGTGCTTCGTGATGTAATTTTTGGTTAGTTCAGCTAGCACATAGAGAAACAGCATTATTACTTGTTACATTTCTAGTTTGCTATCAAAAAATTGATTTTTTGAATAAAATAGTATCTTCCGCTTGTTGCTAAATAATTCATGATTTGTTTTGTGTGAAATTTCTTCCTAACACACTGGTTTCCTCTAACTTTGAATCTTAATGTGTTATGTCATGTGTATATACTGTAAAAGAATTTGAAAGAAAATACAAGCATTATATTTGCACAGTTTATAGTTGTCACAATAGAAAAATTGACTTGTAGCAAAATATTGTTTTGTGATTTCTCATGTGACGTGAGCAGATTAATATGCTGTAAACATAAATTAAAGTGCTCTATATTCAAATACTTGTGATGTCAATACAACGTGAGATGATGAAATCAGTTGCGAAAGGCAGATTGAGCAACGTGCTGAGGAAATGTAATTTTAACATTGAACAAGCACAAGATATTTTACTTCTATCAGTCTGCGGGGGGTCAATAGTTTATAAGAGCATTACAGATAATGCATTACAGATATGTAGAAAGAACTTGCAAAACAATCTATTAGGCACTTCTTAACGGGACATCTAATATCTAATTTATTTAATCCTATCGCATCTGTCATGAAACCTTTGTGGATTTTCTGAATATATATATTGAACTCTTACTGAGAATACATTTGAACGCAAGAAATTATTTTAACTGTCACAGTGTTAATTATTACAAACTTTTTACAATGGCAAAAATATTGATAATAACAATCGTGAAATTCTGATAGTAGAAGAGCAACGATTTCTTCTTGACCTTTCAATTCTTTCCTTGGTTACAACATGTTAACATATATATATACTAATCATATGTGTGTGTCATCATTTGATCTCGTGTGATTGATCTCATTTGATCTTTTGAGATAGCATTTTCATAAAGCTCATGTTTATTCATCATTATTATTTTCTTGGGAAAAATAAAGAAATATACGCGATTTATTTATTGCAGATTTATGATGGAATTGTCTCACGATAAAGATAGCGAACGTTGTACCAGGCTAATGTCCCGCCTTTCTGTGGAGGGATCAAAATGTCCAAGGCCACGAAGTAAAGGTGAAACCAGAGGACAAAGATCTTCTGGTCTCACGCACGAGTGCGGTGTTTTCGGGTGTATTGCTGCAGGAGATTGGCCATCGCAAATTGACGTCGCTCAAGTTGTTTGTCTAGGTAAGATCAATTCAAATAAAATGAAGAAAAAAAATTAGCAATCTAAGATAGACACAGAAGTAGAAGAATAGGTAATCTAAAATATAGGATCAATTATTTCCGTTACTCTCGCTTAATCAGGTTTAGTGGCGTTGCAACACAGAGGCCAAGAAAGTGCCGGTATCGTTACAAGCGAGGGCGTCTGCTCCAAGTCGTTCCACGTTCACAAAGGCATGGGGATGATCAATAATATTTTCAACGACGAGAACATGAGGAAGCTGCGGGGCAATCTTGGAATCGGTCATACAAGATACAGCACAAGTGCAGCCAGTGAAGAGGTCAATTGTCAGCCATTTGTGGTGCACACTGCGCACGGAGCACTGGCGGTCGCTCATAATGGAGAATTAGTTAACACGGAATCTCTGAGAAAAATGGTAATGCGTGGCGAAATTTACGTTTCCCATCATTTATTTCCTCGCTTACTAAGCTGTTCCGATTGCTGAAAGTCGACTAAAACGAATTTGACTCTAATCCTGTGTGTACGTCCAGGTATTAGGCAGAGGCGTTGGCCTATCAACGCACTCGGACTCGGAACTCATAACGCAGGCTCTCTGTTTGAATCCACCTGAAGGCGAAGTCAACGGGCCGGATTGGCCCGCGCGCATCAAGCACCTCATGCAACTGGCACCGCTGTCATATTCCTTAGTTATAATGCAAAGAGACAAGATTTACGGCGTGCGGGATCCTTACGGAAATCGGCCTCTTTGTTTAGGGAAAATTGTACCGCTTGGTAATCTAGGTACGCATTGGAACGCCGCATTTCCTGTTGCGCTTCACCGTTTCTGTTTTAAAACGAGCAAATTTGTATCGCAGCAAGTAACGAATCTGACAACGATGACGAGGAAGCGGAAGGCTGGGTGATCTCGTCGGAATCCTGCGGATTTTTGAGTATCGGCGCGAGATACGTTCGCGAAGTATTCCCCGGTGAAATTGTGGAACTGACACGAGAGGGCATCAAGACTATCGAGATAGTAGAAAGGCCAAATAAACGACCACAGGCGTTTTGCATTTTCGAGTACGTCTACTTCGCTAGAAGTGACAGCATTTTCGAAGGTGAGCAGCTAAGAGTACAATAACACATTAGAGATTGATGAATGTTTAAGAGCATTTCATTTGTGTTTTATCAGGACAAATGGTGTATTCCGTGCGAATGCAATGCGGGCGAGTACTAGCGATAGAATCTCCAGTTAAAGCGGATATAGTAAGCTCCGTGCCGGAGTCTGGAACGGCCGCGGCACACGGCTACGCCAGAGAGGTAGATTCAACAAGTTTAGCGATAAAAAAAATTTACACGCACAAAAGTTCGACATACTTGTGCAAAAATAAAAATGGTTTGAACGCATTGTAGTCTAATGAGCGATTTCTTTTACATTACAGTCCAACATACCTTTCGCCGAGGTGCTTTGCAAGAATAGATACGTGGGTAGAACGTTTATTCAGCCTAGCACGCGACTCCGGCAACTCGGAGTAGCCAAGAAGTTCGGAGCGTTGTCGGAAAATGTAAAAGGAAAGAAAATAGTCCTCATTGACGATTCTATTGTCAGAGGAAACACAATAGGCCCGATTATCAAACTACTACGCGACGCAGGCGCCAAGGAGGTAAGTTTTGACTTGATCTCCGATTTTTGTGCTTCTGTGCTTATTTGCTACGTTTAATCACTGTCCATTTGTGTTCGTAGGTTCATATTAGAATAGCATCGCCACCGTTGAAGTATCCGTGTTACATGGGCATCAATATTCCGACGAGGGAGGAACTTATCGCAAATAAGCTCGATAGTGTAAAACTAGCCAATTATGTGGGAGCAGACAGTTTGTCTTACCTTTCAGTTGGGGGACTCGTAGAAGCAGTCAGATATCGCATGGATAATCGTGAAAGCAATTACATTGGACATTGCATCGCCTGTCTAACGGGAGAGTATCCAGATGAACTTCCTGGTGATCTTGATTGGTAGACTAAGATAAACGACGTTTTCAACTTCTGGAAGCGATAAAAACACAATTTTAATACGTAAATAACAAATGTAACATTTTATAATACACAAAATAAAGTACGTCATTATAGAGGCTTAATAGACATCTAGATATTTGACACAATTTGCCTAAATTTTGATCATTTAATGTATGCAAAATAATTATTCATAAGATTATTGTCTTTTGTAGAAACAAAATGTACTTTTGGTTCAATTCAGTATTTTATAACTACATATTTCACGTAAAAATTATATATAATTATGTATGTGTGTGAAAATTAATCGAAGACATATTTTTTAAGTACAATATGCAAATATTAATAATGCTTGAAATTTGTTCTTTTTAACTGTATAATATATTTTTTTATATTCTATGATTTTATAAGATGATAGAAATGTACAACTCAAGCATGAAGGGAAAAAGAACGAAAGAAATAAATGGAAAAAAAATTGTATAAGATACAATTAAAGAGAACAGATTTGTGGGTTAGGAATATGGTAAGCTTTTTTGGATTTATTTAGTTTAAATGGAATTAAATCAACTAAAAATAACAAATAATGCCCATTTTGCATGCAAGGCAAACATTGATAGAATTTCTATGTCAATTTTCTTTATAGTATCTATAGGATATTGGTATATAAGATAAAGTTAAGGAAAAGATGGAACTTAGTATGGTACTTATAATTAGTACGATGGCTTAGTACCATAAATTTATACAGAAAGTACAATAATTGTTACTGATGTTAAATATTTTATTTTCTATAATAATATGATTTTTTTATATTACTCTGTGCATTGTGATTTTTATCCCCTTAACATCCAATGCGAAGAATCCCATAAATGTGCATATATCCCTATTACACATTTCCAATATAGCTACATTTGTTATCAGTATTATAATTGTTCACAATATAATTGTTAAATATATTGTATTCAGCATTATTTATAATATGCATATTTAAAATTAAGATCGAGATAAAACATCAAGATTGAATATTTATCTTGTACAAAAAGTCAATTTTATGAAAAAATAATCAATAATGTTCAAATATAAAAATATTTAGTTAAAAGTTTAAAATATTTTTAATGTAATTTATAATACTGTAATACGAGGTATTTCTAAGATAAATATGTTTACTTGAAAACAAATTTATAAAAATTAGGAAACCTTTTAGTATAATGCTGGTTGAAAAATTTATTCTTCCACATAAATAGATCTTCACATTTGATCATGTTTCTTTTGATTTTTCCTTGGTTTTACGCGTTAAAAATGAACTATTCTCATCAGACTCTGAATCAGGCTCAATACCTTTAGATTTCTTTTCTTCTCTAATCTTTTGTTTCTCCAAATACGTACTTAACTCTTCTAGTCTGTCATCACGTACTTTGTTCCAAAATTGGAGAGCTGTAAAAGTTAAATTCATATTGAGTAAAGTGTATAAACAAATAAAAAAGAATGTATTTTATACCTTCATCTTGATATTTTGGAGGAACTCCAGCTTGTGATAATGTATCAATATTCGGAGTACAGCCATCATGTTCAGAATCACCAAGAACCTCGACTCTTGGTTTTGTAAAAACTCTCTGCATCTTTAGTACCTTTCTCGTTTTAGCAAAATATTTTAGATTCGGCACTTTGTCAAATACAACATCATCCACTTGTGGATTGTCATCTTTTTCGAAGAACATATACGTGCCTACAGCATCTTCATAAGTACCTTCATAAAACTGAAAATATAAAATAATTAAAAATACAAATATGTAAACTTTCAATATAGCTTTCTATATCTCTTATTTATTATACGTTAGAACATAATACAATACATACCCGTCCATTGATTTGCATTGTAGGATGTTCCGTATCTATTCCAATCATATCTAGTTGAAGTTCTTTGTTATTGAAGACATTACTGCCGACAAGCCCTTCAAACTCGACATATACGAGCATTTCTTCCTCATCTTCTGATAGCTCTTCATCAGACTGCATGATTATTAGATTGTTCTATCTTACGCAAGGCTTGAAAAACAGGTTGTTTACACTATTACGCCAGAAGAATTATACATCATTAATTCATTAATTATACATCAACGTAATCACATCGCTGTCGCCTTGTGTTTTAGTCTCGTAGTATGAAATATGGCTAATCTTTCGGAGCCTTAAAAATATAAATTTATTCATTCATTGCTAGAAATCAATAGAAAAATATGTGATAAAAATTCTACTCACATCGACTAACCTCTAATTCTATGTTCGTAATAATGCGCCATTCATTTCGGCATAGAACATTAAATATATGTAGAGTATAAGCGTAAAACAATGGGAGACCTAAAGATTTTGTCCAATTTATAGAAACGACCAATCGCAATGCAATAAAAACATGGTAGAAATGCAATTGGCTCGGATCGAGAATAAGAGTAGACGCATATGGTGACGTGTTCATCGCATCCACGGGGATATACA